TGTCTTAATACTCATTTTTAAAAAATAGTACAAGCTTGACAAACCTATCTCCGTTTCCCCAACAGTCATACGCCATTGTCAGCCAAGATGATATATTCTTTTATGTGGCTCATGCGAAGATCAGTTTGGACATAGATCTTCATTTGCGCACAGAATGCTTCAATGCAGACTGCGTAAAGTAAGTACATGGTAACAAAATATTTTAGTAAATCTAAGTAGTACATTTAAATATTTGCGAATTCATTTTGATCTCTTTCGCTTTTATTAATCTTAAGTACAAATATGTCAAGTCAAACATTACAGTTAATTAAAGTGGTTTAAATATGACTAACATCGTTTCTAATAGATACTATCTGTCTATATAGATTTAAATATATTAATTTCAAATTATAAATTTTAATATGTTTTGCATTAAATATTATATTTTTGTATTAATTTAAAAATTAAATATGAAATTTTGTATACTATTATTATATCAATCCAGATGTTCTTACAAAGATTTCATAATATGATTACTATTTTTTGTGTTCCCCACAGGATCAAGGAGTACAATCAGATATGGAGTGACATCCGTACTTACGCTCAGCTCTGGAAGCGTGTCCTTGTGTCCGCCCCTTGTGTGCAGGATCCGGGCGCCTCGGAGGCCATATACTCTTCCATGCCAGGCAAAATCGTCGTGTGGCACATCTCACCCATTATCTTTATGAGGGCGCAGAAGAACTCCGACGAGCAGGAAGGGATGAGGAGGGCACACATCCGGGATGGGGCGGCCATATGCGAGGCGTTGAGCAACCTGGAGACCAGGTTCCACACGGAGCAGTGGACCGAGGAGAAGATCAAGTACGAGGTGGAACTGTGGCGTCTCTCGCAGAAGCACTCCAAGGGCCTGTCCCTGCGAACGGTGGTGGCCTATGGAGAGCACTCCGCCCTGCCCTACTACATATCCAGCAATGTGACCAACATCGAGGTCTCCGACCAGAGTCTGCTGGTCATCGAGTCCGGGGGTCAGTATCTGGAGGGCACCACGGATGTCTCGCGGACGTTTATCTTCGGAGAACCCACGCAGGAGATGAAGAAGGTGTATACGAATGTGCTGGCGGGAATTCTTCACCTGACGCAGCTCAAGTTTCCGTCGGATCTGAAGCCATCCGAGGTGGACGCCGTGGTGCGTAGCATGGTGTGGAAGGACATGACGGACTATCCACAGGCAACGGGCCATGGCATTGGTTCCTTTAGCTCCGTGGAGGAACGTGAGTAGAGGGTTCTTTTTAAATGGATTGGATTGAATAATAGAAGATTTGCTTTTCAAAAACAGCTCCCATATCCGTTGCCTATGGCAAGAACAGCAGTTTCCACTTCAAGCAGGGCTACTTCTTCTCAAGCGGTGAGTTATCATGAAACTTTTCCACCTAATCCTGAACTAATCCCATTTTAACCCTTAGAATCTGGTTACTATAAGCGCGATGACTTCGGCGTCCGCCTGAAGAACGTGCTCGAGGTGGTGGACACCGGACACATTCATCCCAGCGGAACACACTTCCTTGCATTCCAGGACGTCACGATGGTGCCCTATGAGCCCAAGCTGATCGACAGCACACTTCTCAGTGCGGCGGAGAAGCGTATGCTGAATGAGTACAATGCCAAGATCCGAAACGATGTAGGGGACGAACTGAAGCGACTGGGCAACATGAGGGCCTTCTACTGGATGATGAACCAGACGCGACACATCCGGGAATATCTGCCGGAGGATGAGTACCGCTCGGCGTACGGGGGAGGAAGTGGTGGCCACACCACGAGTCCCCTGATAGTCCTCGGTCTACTGATCCTCATTTCTGGGATCCTGCAATCCTAGGGTCCAGAGTTTTTAGTGTACACTGTCTGTAATTATGTAGAATTAGTTAGCTATGCAAATTTAAAGAGAGAATCTGGGACTAACAAGAAATCGAACCAATCATTAAATGCAATTGTTAGTATTTTAGTAACGTCAATTGGCCCTGAGTCCATTAAAACCGCACCCTGCCACCAAGTTCTTTGACTAGGATTAGGTAATCACTCAAACCAAATACGTAAAATGAAATGTATAAAATCTTTAAACCTAATCGACCAAAAATATGTTAAACCTGTTTACATTAATACGAGCATTGTCTGTAGTCTTAAGAAATAACATTGTATATTTTTCTAAATATAATTTGGAAAAAACGATTTGATGAATTATTTTACTGCAGTTTTACATGAAGATCTTTTGTTGGGAATGATTTTCATTGCATACTTTTTTGCTCATTTGAAAAGATATAGCTGTTAGCAGTGCTGCCATTTCGTCTGTTTTCTGGACAGATCCTATTAACATCGTTTATTGTCAAAAGAAACAATTTCAGCTTGCAAGTCTCCTTTTGGATAACAAAGTCTTGGGGTAAGTAGAGAATGCTTAGGATATTACCAGTACAATAAGGGATGTCGATCGATAAGTATAAACTCTTACAAAATAACAGCGAAAATAGAACAATTTATTAGCTCCTAATAATCTTCTCAATTACATGTCGCTTAAAACGATACTTTTATAGTTCTTTAATATTTTGCTTAAAAATTAAGCTTTGAGGCTGAATGGGAGTTAATTTCGCATGTGCTTTAACTTAAATTGTACACAAATGAAAAATGTTGCGCAACGGAAAATTATGAGGATTAATAGAGTTCTCGAATAGCTGATAGCCTAAACTATACCAAAAGATATTTTATTTTCTCCAAGTAAAATTAATAGTCGTGAGAACAGGAAACTGAAAAAAAATTGTATTTGTAAGAAAAACAGATTCTGTTAACACATCTTTGGGTCTTAAGCGCTTTACCAAGTCAATAACCTCAATAGAACATGTTAAAAATTAATGGTAAGCTGACATGATAAACCGCTTGCAGCATCTGCCAAAGTCTCAGATGAACACATCGGAGATTACTCAACCTACTTGTGTTCGTAATGAGACGATTTCTATAAAATAGTTATTCAACAAGTGTAATCCCATCTTGAAATACCTTTCAAATGGCCCCAATGGCTGTCAAATCCAGTTGAGCACCTGGCTGCCCAGGCAGGCGTCTTGGGATTGACAAAGTCCATTCTCAAAAAGGGGTCATGGCATGCAAGGAGCCAGGCCGTTTACGGTAAATGGTATTCCATGCGCCCATCTATCAGCGGCACATTTCAGCTAAATCCCCCGAATCGAACTAGAACAGATCGCCTGGCCCAGTTTCGCCGGGCACAAAGGAGTCGAGATGAGTCGGCAGTCGGAGAACCTCATCTTTTGTGGGTTGCACCAGAACCCGACACTTGTTCTGAAAGATTGACCCATTTCGCCAGCGAACCTGTTTCCATTCCGATGATGCGATGGCCAGGCGGGATTCTAGCCTGGCTCCGACTGGATGGCATGAATATGCGCGGCGGCCAAAGTTATCGACGGCCTGGCCAAAACATGAATTAACTTGGCCCGGGTGCCTTGGAGCTGCTGCCTCGACCGCATCGCCATCGTCTGTCTAACGGTGCACTCGAATATTGGCCAGAGATTTGCCTGGCGAATGGGCACGCGGCAATTTGGGCCACTGTCCACGCAGGTTTTTCCACTTTTCGGCGGGCTGAAACTGGGCCTCGAGATCGAGTCAAGGTGGACGGGCGAGGCGAATGCGACCTGACCTGCTCCAAAAAAGCGAGGACTCCGTTTTGATTGCGGGGACGCGTTGCATGTGAGTGGGATGGGTGTCATGCATGTGAACCGCAACTAGCTACTAGTAAAGTCGAAGTGAGTAATGACAATCTTATGAAATTTTACTTTAAAATAGCAATCCCAGAGTGACTTCATTCGATTACCAATATACATATGCGCAATTGTAACTTAAAATCTACTTTTAAATATCCCTGAACTGTATTAATATTAAGTGCCATACTTCTTGTAAAATTGTTAAATTATTGATTTATGTTATTTCAACTATATTTTCAGAACCCGGGGGTTCTAAGTGATTTTGAAAACAATATTCTAATGCCCTTTTTGTAATAAAAAAAATAAGATACATTTTTCTTAAGGCAGTAAATATATTTATGATTCTTGTATGTATTTAATGTACTTTAAATAATATTTAAGCAGATGACATTAAAGAGAGTTCTGATTATATTTTAATTTTAATAATAAAATAATATTTAAGCAGATGATATTGGAGAGAACCAGCAGTTCTGAATATATTTTCACTTTAATAAGAAAATAATATTTAAGCAGATGATATTGAAGAGAACTAGCAGTTCTGATTATATATTCAATTTAATAAAAAAAATAATATTTAAGCAGACGATATTGGATTTATATTTTTATTATCATTTTAATAACAAAATAATATTTAAGCAGATGATATTGGAGAGAACTAGCAATAGCAAATGAAATGTTTCAAAATCAATATATAAGAAATTTACAACGAAATTAATTCATAAGTTTTCTAATTGTATTAAAACTGTAAACACTTGGTTCCCAATCTGCTAAAAATATTTGTTTTAAATCTTTTTTAAAGTCACCTGTTTACAGAAATCCACAAAGCAAACATCCTTCTTGCAGCAATGACTTCTTTGCGAAAGGGAAGAGTTATTTAGTTAGCAAACGCCATGTGACTTCTCTTGACTTAAGCGTGGCAAATTGGCATCATTAGTGTCGTACTTAGGATCAACAGACGCCGCAGGTCCCGACTGCTGCCTAAACCAAACTTTTGGCTAATCCACTTCAGCTGCCAGTCGTCGTCAGTCGTCGGCTGTCAGCACTTTTGTTTGACTTGGACCAACTGCACGCATGCGCAGAAGCCAAAACAAAACTGGCCACTGCACCGGCTGCTTTTGCCATATGCCCATCTCTTTCTCCAGCTGATGCTCTATCTCTTTCTTGGTCTTCGCATCTTAAGCTTGGCTTTGGGGGTCTTCAAATTGGTCTGCCGCAGTTAGTCTCGTTATTGACTTCGCGCACTCCGGTCGCTGCCTCGGCTGCTGAGTTTTCCACACCATTTTCTCGGCTGGAAAATGCAAATTACGAACGAACGAAAGTGTTGTCGCCTACTGAAGAATAGGAACGTGACCGAGTCATTGGGAAAATAAGCAGAATTTGTACTTTGATTGCGGGGCTGGCGAAGAAAGTCTTGCATCGCTTAAATCGAGACCAACATTTAGCAATTTAGGATCTGTCAAGTGTAAAGTGATTTTTATTAGATGAATAATGTGTCACGGAAAGGCCAAAGAAGGTATGTAGTATCCATTGTTGGGAAGTTGTGAGATTTAATATAGTGCTGTATATAGGGCAGTTATTTCTATTCCTTCCTGTTAAATCTCTGTGCTGATCCTAATTACCCGAAGAACAACATTCTCTCGGCCAAGAATGGCAAACAAAAACTGGACAGGGACTTCAGGTGTCTGCGTTGACAACCATATAAGCCTTGTTAGCAGAGCGGCATACGCTTATTCGATTAGCGGGATTTACGACCAACTTGGTCGGTAGCTTCTTGGGCTTCCATGGCCACGACACTCGAATCAAGATCGACAGGCCATTTTTCCTGCTAAACTCGTTCAGGTTACCCACTTACGTATGTACCACCGGGCTTTGTCCGCTGGCCGCAATTGTTGTCCGCGCGCTTCTTTCTAGGAGGGATCTCGGCTTTTCTAGCAATTATTTTCAGATTTTCTCCTCGACGATGGGGCTGCGTGACAGGTCCGCGGTTCAGAAACTGGAGCATCGATGCGCAGTTTATTTCAACTGCGATGCAACTTGTTTCCACTTCTGAAGGTGGGTCACAGCCATAACTCCTCGACTGGATCCCCGACTCACAGACACGTCTATTCTGCGATGGATATAATCGTGCGTTGAGCCATTTCCAATCACCAGTTTACCGCTAGCGAACAATCTCTTTATCGGGACGCTAGAATGTGCTAATGAACCATTCTAATGCACTACAGCATCGGTTCAATTGTCGGTCTTATAACAGTAGGCAGTCCATCATTGTCTTAAATTGTATAAATATCTTTGAGTGCCAATTGTACATCCAGCTAAGAAGAGGGCTTAAAGAATTTCTCACAATCTTCTTGAAAATTTATTATGTATTGCTATTTATGTTATGGTACAACATGGTTTTTAATGCCATGAAATGGTATATTTATATACTTTAGTGGCCAAATCAAATTCTATTTTTGGCAAAATAATGCAAATTAAATTTAATGCATTTTCAAAGCGATCAAATGATTATAACATCCAAGGGAAAGATCAGAAGATCAAATACTACATTAAGCTCCAAATTAATTTCAGTATCCAATGGCTTTTGGTTTTTTTCCAGTGCGCCCATATCGGCAATTATAACCCCGCTGGGGCGTCCAAATAGACAATGAATCCAAAAATAGAAACAATTACATTAATCCACAGTCAGAAGCAGCTAGCCCTTAATCAAGCTAGCGGCCTTAATGGTCAGTGGCATCGCACCTCGCAATTATGAATAGCAATAAAGAAAATCTATTTTCTCCTACCCACCGAGAAGTGCAAACTTTCCCCACAAGCGCGATAAATGACAAGAAACCAATTATATCTGGCCAGGCTAGAATTATGATCTTATCTTAGAGGAGAAGGAACGGCACTGGGCCACAAAGAGCACAGTTAGCCAACAATCAGATGGTGTCAATGCGGGTTCTTGATGGCTACCGTTTGTCGGGCTTATAAAGATCAGGGTGCGGAAAGCTGACCCACAAAGCACGCGCCATTTGAACTCAGCTCAGCTGACCAAAGTAAATTAAAGCTATTTAGCACCCACATCAGCGAGAAGAACGGTGTTGAAGGGGCCAATTAAAACATCGACCAGTGCCATAAAACATTTTGAGCTGCGAAGAATTTCCATAAGAATTTTTATGAAGGTCTAAACAGGGGCCTTAAGCCATGGACTGTGGCCATGTGGTATGCAAATGCAAATGCTTATGGCAATTTATGGCGCAGAGTTCATGAGCAGCGCCTCGCGTCACGCTTTTTGGGCAATTTCTTTGTCGGATTTCATTATCTACACCGTAATGCGCCTTACCCTCTCCTTATGGGCAGCATTACAAGGGGCATTGTTCGGTAAAGTGTCCATAACGCCCCCTGTCCAAAAGATGTTCATGCCTAGCCTCAATTTATCAGGAGCTTATGATACATATAAGAAAACTTTTTTTGCATAGCTGAAGGTGTTCCTCATTGGTAATTACTTAATACGCACATATTATAATACGTTAAAAGAAGCCTAAAAACTACCAACATTTTAATGTTTTTAACCAAAACTTCAGTTCCTTAAATTTTTTTTTAAAGAGATTTAGAAGAACCACTGAAGATAGGTTTATAATTCCATTTATATTATTTATTTCCATTTATATTACCCGAATATTAGTAATTGTAATTGTTCATGATCATGTCTTAAGTTACCGGAAAATTGTTTCTGAGGGATACAGGATTTCCACCAAAAAAACCATAAAAGTAAGCAAAACGAGAGACAATATAAACAAGGAAATCCACTAACTTAATGTCTATTATATAAAACGAAAACGTCACGAGTGCTTAACATCTTAATGAGTAGTTTAGGATTGGCAATCTGCACCTCTAAGGGTCAGCGGTCGTGATCTTGGTCAAGTCACGTAGCCAAATCGTAAAGCAAAGTGTCCGAGTGCCTGTGCAAATTTTACAAAAGGGATAAAATGCGCGAAATTAATTTCTTTTTAACCACACGCTGGTATCAAAACCAAACCACTCCGGCTCGTGAAAAGTGAATCGCTATTGTCTGATGGCTGGGTTATGGAGCGGGAGGCGAGAAATGGCGTAATGAGTAGCACAATGTGACAATTGTCGTGTATTTTTCAAGACTCATTTCGGGTTCGGGTTCGTGACGCAACTGCCAGGCGGCTAATGAATGAATGGCTGGAGTCTCATGGAGCAGGGCACTGCGAAAGGGAAAATTATCTCTGAGCCGAGATTCTACAAAGAAAGTCTCGCAGAGCGATTATGTCTGGGCCAAGACAGCGAAAGTCATGAAACTTTAATTGCGCAATGTTTTCGTGTAAATGATTTGAATAATTTGCAGAACTTGTCCACTCGAGGTACTCGCTGCACTGGGGGAAAAGGTTCTCAGCCCCGCTTTTCACTCTTTATAGTCATGTTGGGGGAGTACTTGGGCGGCAGCGTTTTCTCTCAGTGCCTGCGCATGTCAGATACGCTATGCTGGGCACAAGACGAGCGCGAAGGAATCAAGCGTATCTCGGAGCACCCAACTTCTTCTCCAACCCTCCGGTTGTATCTCTGCTCTATCTGTATCTTCAAGCTTGCCTGCGTTCGCCGGGCCGGCGCTGAGCAAAAATACGACTAATTTCTGAAATAGCTGGCACTGCAGATACAAGAAACTCAAGAAACCTTTAAAACAGACACCGAAAACAGAAACAAAACTACAGCTAAACACAGCCTGGTAAATTGAATAGAGAAAGTGATGATCACGGTAGTATGATGTTATTTGTTAAATAAATCACATCACCCATCAACACCACCCCGTCGAATGCGAATGCGTATGGGTGCAGTTAACGGTTTAACTACAAAATGAAAATTCTCTTAAAAGTAAAAGCTGGAAACGCACAAAAGAAAATTCTAGCCATAGAGGTAAACATGCATAAAACCGTTGGAAAGAAAATGAAAATCTAAAGGTTCGGGTTCTTTGCATTGAAAACGAAACTCGGGTTCTTCGCTATCAGCTGTTAGGCATCTTATTCAACCGTTTTCCCTTTGAGATATATAAAAACGGAACCAAACTCAGGTCGATGGGTCTAGCAACCCCATAAAAGTAGTAAAAGCTTTCTGGACAGGCTATATACAATAAAGGGAAATTAGTTCGCTTAGCATTTCTTATTGTCTCACATGGACCACATTTAATTACTTGTTACTGTTAACTCGTGAATAAGCCAAGTTTGAAAAAGATGTCAACACTCGAGAAGCAAGCACATGCCGATCAAAGGCCATCAAAATTAAAATCTAAAATGGAAAATGGAAAGTTTGATGTAAACAGACAGATAGATCTTTACGGCGGCTGGCTCAAAAGATTTTATTAGTGAAACGGAAACGGAGTTTTTAATTGAAACCATCTTGAATTACGAGCGGCGGTAATGTGCTACAGGTTGGTTTCATTATAGAGGCCAGGCATAGATCATAAAACATATCATGCATATCACTACCCACTATGCATAATACAATCTATATAAAAACAGCCTGGAGTTTTTGTCTAATTCTAATTTGCACTTTGAAAATGCAAATTTGAGATCAACTATTTAATGGCTTTGCATGTATGTGAATTATTACGTTTATTACCAGAAGCCAGTCTTCTTAAGGGGGTTTTTTATTCTTCATTCTTGACCAAGCTATTCTGAATTTCCAACTGCGCCCAAGCGATTTCAGCTCGCCTTGAAGTGAAAAATTAAATGCATTTTACGATGGAGCGAAAGAGGCCGCGGGCAGCTCCAATTATCGTAAGTCTTGACCACGGTCATTGATTTCGAAAATGCCTTCACTGCTCTGCAGCCCGGTGGCTTCCCTTCCCCTCCAAAAACCCCTAATCCGTCACAGCTTCTGCGCTTGCGCAAATGGCAAAACCTGGGCCACCGGCATTTTGGAGACCCACTCGAAGTCGCGACACAGGCTTTAATTGCAATTTGCCCGCCGGTGCTTCATTTGTGGGAGACTGACATTGGTTTTTCAAAACTCCATGGTGCATTGCCCAAATAACTTTGCGACATTCAAGTGGTTCGTATGCAAATGACAAACCAAACACATAATGCTCCACATATTGGGCAAGTTATGATGGCAGTCGAAAGGCCAGGCATTCGTCTTCTTCGATTTGGCCAAAGAAAAACAGTTTGGCCATCATCAAATTCCGTATTCCCAATCCCAAACATCATATTCCGCGATACAAAGTCAGCTATGGTGGGGCATTCTCATTGTGCCCCTACTGCCCACTTACGCCAGAGATGATATTGTTGTGAGTCCGCTCTTTCTTTCTTTTTTCCACTGACTCTTTTTCCATCCAACTTCTTCGACGTTTTGAGCCCGTTTCAGTCGCCGTGTGGCATTCAACGAACTCGGACGGATCGCCCGGTTTCGGAGTAGAGTTACAGCACTTGGATTTATATTTGGATTACCAAAAGTCGGACCTGAACTCGACCGGATTGGGCGGTGTTTTGTGGTGACGATGATGTGGTGCAGTGGAGTTGAAGTTCAATAAGGCACAAGTAAATGGCATTTTGAAATTGGCCCATTCGAATGTGTGTGTGTTGTGTGTGGCATTTGCTAATTACCGCGAATATCTCTGCAGTGAAAGTATCTCATAGATATATAGATGCAGCTCCGACTATGTTGTGCGTTCGCGAATAGCCAACATTTTTCCGATACAACAATTGCATTTTAGTTTACAATTTATCAGACGAAACAGTGTAAAAACTGGAAGTCCGAAAAAACGAAAAACGATCATATATTATAAATAACGATTTTGCAATACCTTTTCCTACTCGTGAATGGACGATTACGGGGCCTGTGCCTTAATCTAATAATGCTAAAGTCTGTCGGTTTTTGGTTTTGCTTGCAGCTAATTAATGAGCCGGCTCCAGTGCGATGATTGAATGATGGCCCCAGTGGAGCACGCCATGCACCACCTACCCATGGTTTCTATATCCACTCCAAAACCTATGCAAAATGTGTGAGGCCGCGGCTCGTGTGATTCGCTAACATGCTAAAAATTAACGTACATTGCGCCTAAACGGATTGCATTCACCGCTAATTGCCTACAAATTAAAAATTAGAAAAAAAAAAACAAAAAACAACTAGACAGTGAAACAGTGAATTGCAAACAGCGATTTGCATCCGCAGCTGCGGCATTCCGCGAGTGTTTAGCACGTCCAGCCCCCCAGGAGGAAGAGGATGGTCACCTGCAAGGTGGACTCCCAAACCGCGGTGGCTGTTCCCAAAATGAATCCGGTCCGGACACGCGGAAAGCCCGCCGGCAGCAACAGCAATAGCAATTCTTCCGGCTTTCGGCTCCTGGACGGCGACCAGCTCGAAAACAATTCGAGTGTCAGCCGCAACTCGATCTACAAACTGAAGATCGATCTCATGTTCGACGATTCCAGGTGAGTTTTGGGTTTCGATTTCGGGGTGGTGAAACTTTGTAATTGGTAGCAGATTGCCTGGGGAGGTGTGTTTTTGGTTGGCCATTAGCCTCGCTCTCCATCTCTGGGCCAAATCAAATCAATTAGCCTCTCATTTCCACTGACCACCCAACACTTTCGTTCTCGAAACCGTAGACCAGACTCAAAGATTCAGATACAGAAACGAGCGGAGAGAGATATTTCGTTTACCGTTTGCCGCATTTCCATAACCAACGAAAAATACTGTTATTCGTAAATTAAAAACTATATTGTCCGATGGAAGAGATTGGGGGAATCCGAAGATAGAGCGACACTTGCTCTTTGAATAAAAATTCATCGTTGACACACATTCGCAGGTGGAGGAACTACTTAATTGATTGAGAAAGAAAACCAAGAGCTCCCCTTTCCAGACTCCACCAGACTCAAACAACACTCATCTCATCTTCATTCCCATTCAAAACTCTCGACGGCCGAAAGACGTTCTATGGAAATAAGCATTTCCGATTTTATGTCAACTAGCGGTAAACGGAATGGCTCGAATTGGGAACACCTTAAGCTGCATTTGGCCATTGGCCGCCGAAACGCCTCTAACCCAGCCACCTCTCTATATGTCTTCCCCCTATCCCCAGTGTTTCCCCCGGGTTCTGACCCCGTCAGCATATTCAGGATGTGGCCAATTCGGCTTTCAGCCAACAAGTTCACAAGTATCAGATAGTCGAACTCAAACTTCGCTGCGAGTCGAATATGCTAATCTCAGTTTGCTTTTGCGTTAATCAGTCAAACTTTCACAAAAATGTAACCGTTTTGTCGTCTTAAGCACTAAAAGTGTTGACTGGCGAACGGCTAATAAAATAAAAAGTTGTATCCATCAGGTTTTTGATCTAATCGATGATCTAGATGACATTCTAAATTGTGTGGTTCAGGAAAATTAAATAGAGGTTATTTATTCAAGCTGTTGGTTTTGGGCTATAAAAATAGTATCGTTTGGTATTTTATTAAAAAATTAATTTTACGAGTCAGGAAATTCCGTAGATATCATTAAAGTGTTCAGTTTCTGAAAGAACTTCTTGGGGAGCACACCTGTGCTTTAAACACTTAAACTAGCTTAGTAGATCTAATACCTAAAAATTGATATATATAATAAGGTAATTAATATATTTAAAGAAACAGGTTTTATAGGTTATGTAAGATCTATTACTATTGGGATCTTTATGTGCACTGAAGTGAAATTAATTTAAAATGATGATGAACTTTCGTATCATATCTAAGTTGATACGCCTGGAAGGGAGAGGAATCGATAATTGCAATTTTCAGTATCTATTTCACATTATTATATGTTAAAAGTGATACGTGAATAGTGTGGTATGGTTTTGGAAATAATTCTGCTCCATGTCTAAAATGTCTTTTATATCCCCACCTATCCAGATCCATGCGAAGCAGCCGCCTCGACGATCCCCGGGGATCGCATCGCACTCGCTCCATCATCATGTATGGGCGCAGTGAGTTGGCCAGCACATCGGGGGACACGCCCCGCTCCCTCAGCAGTTTCCTGCAGGAGAACGGGCAGTCGGCCAAGGTGCTGGCCGAGGCGGCCAAGAAGGACGTGCAGCGGATCAGCAACAGCGTGCAGGCCCAGATCGAGCAGATGTTCACGGACGTGGCCAAGGACGCGACCAGCAGCTTCGAGGTCACCTGCCTGGGATCGCTGCCGCTGAAGGACAAGGTGACCAGTCTGCAGGGTCTGCAGGAGCCACTGCGGCAGCTGTACCTCAGTGAGGTCACCAATAAGGTAGGATGGCACCCTCTAAACTTGGAGTTATCTTCCTAACTAACTATTAAACCCTCGATTATCAAGCACAAGCTCAACTCCGGATCGCTGGATATCTGTGCCACCGGTCTGAGGGTGAAGGTCAGCGCCCTGGCCATCTCAAGTGGTGCGGGTGCTACGGAGGAGAGCGATGCCCTCATCACTCCCTTTCACAACATTGCCGTTTGGTCGGCTGTGAAGTTCGTCATATCGGATGATGATGGTGGCGCCGCCTTCTTGCCCCTGATCACCGATCCCGAGAACATTGACAAGACTGCCCTGTTCCAGCCACTGAGGTGAGTTAGTTACTATTAAAAGATCATAGATAACCCTTAAATGAAGGGAAGTTCCTAAGTTGTAAAATATTATTCTCTTAAAACTGACAAGTGTTATGTGTATTAAAAGATCAAAGAAAGTCCCTATGAGAAAGTCCCTCGGAGAATGTACATCAGAACATATTTTTGATTTTATTTATTTATTTATTTATTTAACAAATTAAGCTAAGCATACAATGACTAACTTAATTGCAAAAATACCGAGCACTGGCTGCGGTGGCCTTCGACTCTGGTTGTAATTAATTTGTTCTATGTATTTATTATGGTTTTATTTATATATAAATATATACATTTGTTTTTCATATTTTAACTTAACTATTATATTGAGAGCTTTGCTTTTTTAATGAATTCGTGCATTATTTTGATGTTTTCTGCGGATGGGCATTTTAAGGTTTGTGTGGGTAGCTGGGGCCCAAAGAAGTATGATCTGAGGCTAGACAGACCGGGACAATCATTTAGTAGGTGGTCAATGGTCGGAAGTCCACCGCAGAGACTACAAATTGGATTATTTTGGCCTTTTAATAGGTGCTCGTGTGTTTGTTGAGTGTGTCCTATTCGAAGTCGGATAAAAGTGCTGCACTGGGGTCTACCGGTCGCAGCTGGAAGATGTATTTTGGTGCATGTAGGATTAAAACTCCTGTACCTATGGTTGAAACTATTCCATTCCAGCATTTTTTGGGTTTCCAAGTGTTTATATGTAAGGTTGTGTATATCGTTGCAATTAATGGGTGTAAAGATGAAGGTTGGTGAGCGGCCCATATTGTGGGCAGCCAGGTCTGCGTCTTCGTTTCCTCGTATGCCCTGATGGCTAGGGACCCAGAAGAATGTAATTTTTGTGGAATACTGTTTGCCTATCCTTTGTATCTCCTGTATGGTGGGGTCGCGATGCTCGGGGTTATTTATTGCTAGCAGAGAAGAGAGGCTGTCGGTGCAGACAACAAATTTCCCCTTGTGATCGATTGCAAAGCGGCAGGCTAATAATATAGCAGTGGCTTCTGCAATGAATATGGAATTGTAAAGGGGAAGGCCTCCCCCCGCTATGATGGAGTTGTTGGCGTCTACAACCGCGAATGAGGTTGATTCCGATGTTTTGGATCCGTCGGTATACAGCCAATGTTTTCCCCCGAGGCGCTCATTTTCGCTGTGAAATCGGGTGCGATATACTGAGCTAGGAGTGTGACACTTGCTTGAGATACGCAGGTTGGTGTTTATAATCGGTTGTTTCCGAGACCAGGGTGGAAATGGCCCGGGCGGCTTGAAGCGGTTCGGTGGGGTAGATCCAATTCTTTGCTGAAGTTGGAGCATATTCGGAGAGTAGAAAGGCATTTATACTTCCTTCTATCCTTGAAAGTGCTCTTGAAGTCGTCAGCCAGTAACCGATTTGGGGTGGTGTACAATTTTGGAATTAGCCGGGTGGTTGTTTCTTTTACCCTTGTGGGGATGCTGGGTAGTCCTGATTCCGCAAGTATGCACTTTATAGGTGACGTAGGAAACGCGTAGATTGATCTGCGTGCAGCTCCATGGTATGGTGGTTGAATTTTCTTGATATGTGTGGCTGCGCACCAGCCGAAGATCGGGAGACCGTAGTCTATTTTGGAGAGCATTAATGCTCTGGTTATGTTTATAAGAGTATTAATATGTACATGAGAATACTTAGAGCTAAGAAATTTAATTATATTTAGGCGAGATTCTAGCTGTTTTCGTAATATTAAGCAGTGTGTTTTAAATGTAAACCTAGAGTCGAAGGTAATACCTAAAATTTTCAGATTCTCCGTATGGCTTATACTTTTGTTCCTGAATACAATTTCGGGAAAGTTACAATTGTGCTTACGACATATATGTAGGACCTGGCATTTTTCTACGGAGAGTGAAGCCCCGGATGAAGTACCCCATTGCTCCAGTTCTTCCAAAACTTCAGAGAAAGTTTCCTTGACAGAATCGAGATCTTTTTTTTGGTAAAAATAAAGGCATCGTCCGCATACAGCGAGATGGATATATCTTTATGCCTGTTAAAGATGGAGGTGATTTGCTCAAAGGCAACCATAAAGAGCAACACCGATAAAGGGGAACCCTGAGGTATACCGTTGTGGAGCTTGTGAAGTTTAGAGGTTGAGTTGTTAACTCGGACCCTAAAAGTTCTATTGGTCATAAAGGCTTTGATAAGGTTATAAAGCCTTGGACCAACACCCCAGAGTTCAAGTTGGTGTAACACTGAATGTAACCCTACGCGGTCGAAAGCCTTTTCAAAATCCGTAGCCAGAACGGATACGTGATTTTTTGTAGAAAGGGCCTTCGACGTGAAGTGTTGAAATCTCAGCAGAGCGTCCATGGTAGAGTGGCTCCTTTTAAATGCCACTTGGTAGTGAGAGATTCGGTTTTTTTGGGTGATAAACCACATGAGTCTACGAGCTATCATTTTTTCTATTATTTTCCCAAGGCAGGAGAGGAGCGAGATGGGACGGAAACTGTTTGTGCTGTGGTCAGATTTCTTTGGCTTCGGAATAGGGATTACTGTGGCTGATTTCCAGACGTGTGGGTAGGAACCAGTGACAAGAGTGAGGTTGAAGATTTCAAGGACCTTTTCCTTAAGGGTGGGGGGAATATTTTTCAGCACTGCATACGAAATTCTGTCGTACCCAGGACATTTCCCTTTGGAAGTTCGAATAACAAGTTCCATTTCCAAGAGACTGAATTTTTGCTCAAGTTGCTTCGCAGCATTGCATATTGAGTTTGGTTGGTATATGCTGTTTACGTATCTTTGTTTTTGATCGACGTAATTCCGAGAGAAATTACAGTCTGCAGAGTAATTTGACCAGGTATTACCAAATTCCTCAGCTATTTGACACTCACTGGTAACAAACCCAGCTACGGTTTTTAGGCACTTTATTGGGGTGGGAGGTACTCCCGCTAGGCGCTTTACATCGGACCATATCTTTTTTGAGCTAGACAGGGGCGAGATTCGTGAGGTAAATTTTTCCAGGCAGGATCGCTTAGCAGTCAGGACGGCCCTTTTGAACCGAGAATTAGATTTCTTGTAATTCAAGAGGTTTGATGTGGTCAAGTTGGACTTGAAAGTGTAGAACAAAGCTTGTTTTTCATTTCTAAGCTCCTGAAGGGTGCTATTCCACCAGGGAACTTTGGCTTTGTGCCGTATACACTTGGTTTGCGGAATACTGCGATTGGCCGCGGCACGGATGCATTTGGTTACTTGAGCGACTTGGTGGTTAATGGAGTTTGGTTTCCACTGTAGAGGAAAGTTTGCACATTCACCCTCGAATAGTTTCCAGTTGGCTAGATCGGTTTTATATTTTGGCAAAGGAGGGGAACTGTCTGGACTGGGGTTCAGACACAGAACAATTTGAATGGGAAAGTGATCACTGCCATGTGGAGATTTGAAAACTGACCATTCCGAAATATGTGCCAGTCGTGGAGAAATGAAAGATACATCTACATGTGTGAGTGTGTTATGGGTGGAAATGTGGGTTGCTGAGCCATCGTTTAAGGTGATCATATTGGAATCGACTATGGCCCGCTCTAAGGCTTTGCCACGCCCATTGGATACAGGCGAACCCCATAGTGGGCTCCATGCATTAAAGTCACCTAACATTAGAAGGGGACCCGTAAACTGATTTCTTATATTTAAAATGTCGCTGCTGGTGAATGCCTGAGAAGGGGGAATGTATATATTTATAATAGTAATTAGCCTATCAAGACTGAGTTGAAGGGCCGTACTAAGAATATTTGTATTTAATGCTTTGTAGGTGTGAGGAATATGCTGCTTTATGAGCACACCAATACCTTGCTTGCTTGTGGTATTATGAGAAAGGTTGTGAAAATAGCCAACATAGGCTTTTGGGCAGATGAAGTTTTGGAAGTTATGGGGCAAGTGGGTTTCTTGCAGGCATAAAACATCGGGGGAGAGGTCGTTTAGGATTAGTGTAAGTTCATTGTAGTTATTGAAAATACCATTTATGTTCCATTGAAGAATTTTGACAGGCATAGAGGATAGAAAGATTATGTTTTACGTTTAGCATTTCATTTCATAGTTCAAATGTTTTTAAAAGTCTTGATCCATAGAAGAATCAGACTCGCTTATTGTTTTTTTTGTTTGGGATTCAGAATGATCTGAATCTAAGGGATATTTAGGGGAACTTAATTGATCTGTTTCATTTAGAAAGTCTCGCACTTCTTTGTTGAGAGCTCGAGACTGCTTGATCAAATCATACGATTTTCGGGTGGAGGTTGTGGGAGGAGAGGGGGAGGTGCGGGAAGGAATTGAAGGTCTGGTGGAAGGGGAAGAGGAGGGAGAGGGGGAGGGTGCCGGAACGGCAGAAATTTCTTGCGCTTTGGATGCTGCTGCGGTTGTCTGGTTGCTGATGGTCTGCTTGTTTTGTTGGAGCGTTGTTGTTGTCGTTGGTGTTGTCGATGGTTGTTGTGGAGCGACGACGGTCGCGAAGGTGGCCGAAGTTATTTTTGGCGATAAGGTTTGTTGTTGCTGCTTGTGGATGATTTTGGCTTCGCGCATGCTGCATTTCTTTGAAGTTTTGATTCGGAGTATTTCTTTTTGTTGTTGATATGACGGGCAGACGGGTGAAGAGGCAGGGTGCTTATCAGCGCAGTTTGCGCACTCAGTTCTGGTGCATGTTGTAGGTGCGTGAGGGGGGAGGTTACAGGTACAGCACATGGCAGTGTTTTTACAGTATTTTGCCGTATGACCAAGTTTTTGGCAGTTTTTGCACCTCATTGGATTGGGTATATATTCCCTAACCTTGACTGTGTGCCAACAAATGTCCAGTTTGCTCGGAAGGTTGTATAAATCAAAGGTTACCAAGATCACGCCAGTGGGCTTGATGACACCTTCATTTGTCCGGGTGAATTTAAATACGTCATGGACGTTCTGGGATTTCAATTCGGCCTTTATCTCAGCTTCGGGAATGTTGTTTAAGTAAGGCGCATAGATGGTCCCCTTAACAAAGTTAAGTGCTTCGTGGTACTTAGCTTCAATTTCGCAAATACCGTGTAGACGATCGGTTTTTAGAAATTTTTCGGCTACATCTTTAGTTTTAACCAGAATCAGCAGATTCCCGTCTCTGAGGGTGGAAATTGAGATTATCTCTTTGCTGATGATGTTGAGTGCTCGATGAACAGCAAAACAGGAAAATTCGGAAATGGTTTTGGTTGAGTTTTTTGCGGTTATGATGATGAACTTTGGGTTCTTTTGCACAGTTTCTGGGAGTTCTGGGAATTCCTCGGAAAACTTTTGATATGGTCGTTTTTTCTTTTTGGTTTTTGGGCTTTCACTGAGGACAGCAAAGCGGTTTTCCCCCAGATTGGGGGGCCCGGGGGGCATGGTCACTATTTGCTTGCTGTTAGGTGGAGATCGGGTGTTCGTTAGAGATAAGAAAAAATTTGATCGTAACTCGCACGAATAGAACTGCCGGGAGAAAAGTTACAGACGTCCGCACTCGATGAGAGGTAGTCGGTGACTGATTTTTGATTTTATTTTGATTATTACATAAAAATCAATAGTAATTCGAAAATTGGCTACATATTTCAAACTTTTTCTTTATTTTATGTTTTGTTCAAATATTCGATAACGTTAATGGTTATTTTTCCACAACAACTCTGTAGCTCCAGCGAGAAGCTGGCGGTGGAGCACAGCATCCATGTGCACGCGCCCATCTTCGCGGTGGTCATGCGCTCGGCCAGTTCGCCCAAGGTGCTCGAGTGCCATGGATTCATCTGCAAGAGCACCGAGGACGCCATCGTGATTGCGGCCACTCTGTACCAGAGCCTTATGGCCCACGTGAGCACCAGTTCGCGGCGTAACACCCAGCGGAGGACTCCGCGCCAGCAGAACGGGGTTAGCTGCATCAGCATCGCCAGTAGTTCAGCCTTGGCCAGCTCCAACTATCTGTCCCGCTCCCAGATAATCCCCAGTGCCTGTGGGCGGCGCAGCTCCTTCCGCGGAAGCACCGGAGGGGGTGGTGGTGCTCCATCCCGATCTGGACGGAAGAAAAGGGTCTCCAATAGCTCCTTGAGCTCGCACAGTAATGTGATTAACGAGACTGCCGAGCTGGAAACCTCGACGGAGGAGCGTAGGCGCAAGTCGCACAAGTCGAAGCGGGCTCCTCCAGTTCCCACGACGGTTCCTGGTTCCGGAGCTCACCGACCCGGCGGCGGAGGACCTTCCCGGAATGGCAGCATAGTATGCGGCAATGGTCACGTGAACCGACTGCACCAGAACGCTCATCCTGGCAAGAAGTCTTCGGAACTACCTTCGGGATGTGGGGATGTGGCTCCCGCCAACGGAGACATCCTTACAAGGGTAGCCATTCCCAGATCCGGCAGCTTCCTCAACACCGGAGGATTGACACGTTATAAATCCCGGGCAGCGAGACGTCATTCAGGCAAACTGGGAGGCGGAGGAGGCGGTGGAGGAGGGTGAGTATTGCCACCGAGCTGGGGGACAGATGCACTGCATCTGGCCCCGGGCACGGGCGGCAGTCTTTTTGCAATTTGGGGGAGAAGGTTTGGCCTGGTTGATTGGCATCGCTTGAATTGTGCTTCTAGTTCCCCACTTGGTTTCAGCGAACTGTTTAACGAATTTCGCCTGCACGAGAACCTCCACTCGCTGGACGACATCCTGTACGCCATCATCGACGCCGATGGCATGTCCTTCAACGACCTGAAGCCCATCTACAAGGAGTTCCTGCTCAAGCTGGCCGTCACGCTCACCCAGGACGAGCTCTTCCAGCGCTCCAAGAACATCATGCGGCGCCAAAAGAAGAAGAAACAGAAGCGCAAGGCCAGCGTGAATGGGTCGCAGGTGGGTCATCTTGGCACAGTTAATGTGGAGCAAAAACTTTATATTTTCTATCTCCTCAAGAAGAAGACAAAGAGCAGCTTTTTCGGCACCAAGAGTCTGAAGAAGGTCTTTCAGCTGGGTCAGTTCCGCTCGTGCCGCGGCAAATTGACCAAACCGGCGGTGAAGGAGTCCACCCTGGATAGCCAGCGCAAGCGTCAGATCAGTCCGCCCATCATCATCGGACCGCCCATCAGCCACAGCCACGCCCAGCAGCAGCACCAGCGGAATAGGGCGGCCACCAGTGGCTCCGATGTCTCCGTGGTGCGGAACGAGCACACCCAGGGACTCAACCGAAACAGCAGCAGTGGGTATGTTTCTGATAACACGTTTTAATTATTGATAAATAATAACAAATATATGGCATGTGGTAAACATAAATCATTGGGCTTCATAACTATAAACATTATCCACACTAAACAAAATTTAGACTTTTAGTCTTTGAAACTTGTATAGCTTATAAAGACTTTAATTCTTGACGGATTTTGTTTGGGACGTTACCTTATCGATGATTTCTAATCCAAGAAAAAATATAATTAACAGTTATTTTTGGTCCCTGCATATTGGTTTATTTTTGTATTGGTATTATTTTTAAAATTTCGAGCTGATAAAGCTTGAGTCTAAACTTATTTTGCTTAGGAATTTTTCTTATCAATGCATTTTATATAAGTGAAATTTTTAATTTCAGTTACTTTCGGTCCATGTAATTTTTTTTGAATGCTACTTGTTTTTGAAATTTACGGAGGCTAACAATTTATAAATAGAAACTAAGAAATATCTTTGGCCGGAATTTGAATGGAACTTGTATAGATAGATATTAAGTACAAATTCCACCCGAAATTTGTCCAAAGAGATTTCTCGCTTACCTCGTATTATTTTTTATCTCAATGAAAAAATAAATAACATTAAGCTAGTGTTACTAATTTCCAAACCCCCCGCAGATACGTCTCCTGCTCGGAGTGCAGCTACGACTCCGAGTCCTGCGCCTGTGCCTCCGCCGATCGCTGCTACTGCAGCCTGCGTACGGAGCACCTGAACCACAAGCTGCGTCAGAAGAACGAGCGCAACATGGCCCTGGCCACGCCCACCCGGAAGCCCGCCAACGGAGGTGTCCTGCCCCAGAACGTGGCAGGTGCTACCGGCACCAACCGGCACTCGCTGATCTCTTGCCGCTCCGACGACAAGTGCTACTGCTCCATGGTGGAGGAGGAGCCGCCCAGCTCAATGGAGCGGGATTCGGCCAACAACACGCACACGGAGACGACCACGTCCTGCGACTCGGACAGCTGTGTGAGCGCCAGCAAGTGCTACTGCAAGCGGACCCATCGCCGGCAGCGATCCTCGGCAGCGGCGGCCATCAGCGAGGATTCACTTTCGCAGCAGCAGCGCAAATCCCGGCCAGGAAACGCGGGAGCTGGAGCTGCACGCAAGGGCAAGCCCTCGGAGAAGTTGGGCCTGGACTACGAGCTCTTCAGTATCAGCGGAAGTGGCCAGTCGGTGCAGCCCCACGAGGCACTCAGCGTGAAGAAGAGTGTGGAGGCGGCGGCGGTGTTCGCGGACATGAAGCTCAGCCAGACGACAGACATCAAGAGCCTGTGCCCGCCGAAGGGACCGGGCTCGCGGGTGGGCAACGGCAGCTGCCGATCGCACGCCTCCTCCAGGAGGTCCTCGTACCGCACCCGCGAGTCCTTCAGCACGGATCGCTTAAGCGGAGGACTGCCGCTTCCAATGCCCCTGAGCAAGGGCGTGGGATTGGGCGGAGTGGGCGGTGGGAGCGCCGACAACCTGCTGGCCAACCTCAAGGCCATGGAGGCCAGGGCCGCCTCCATTCGCAGCAGCGCCAGCAGGAGCCGCATGGGCAGCTATCAGTCGATGCGGGCGGTTAGCGCCTCCCTGGAGGACTCGCTGGGGTACTTGCCATAGACCAGGATGTGGGATCCGACACTCGTCCGTTACGATGTACATAGCTCATAAGATTACACCTAAAGGATATACTTATATACTCGTAAACCTATTATCCCTCGTAAGGCTTATGTTTCCCAAGACAATGGTCGCGCTTTTCATATACAGGTGACTAATTATCTTGTGAAACGTAATCATATGTAGCCCTAAGTACCTCCTATAGAACATCCAGTGTGACTTTATCTCTAAGATCCTATCCGTAGAAATCGAGGTGCAATATGAAGACCAACCATTTGGGAAAACACGAGTCCCACTTATTTAAAGCAGTGCAATATTTATAACTAATGTTAAAAATAAAAACTATTTCTTATATACTCAGATGAAAGTCTCAGTCTCTGGAAGTCTATTATGCAAATGTAGAACATGATTTAGCAAATTTTGTATTTGGAGACGACTATTACTAGGCACAACTAGTAAACAGTGATTTGGGGAAATTCACGGGAAATATATAATTCATTCAACTCATACGATGTACAGTGAATACTGGCTATAAGGTACACAATATAATTCTAAAGGACTCGTAAGACCTCTACCATAAATTATTTAAAAGGTACTACCCACACGATCAAGCTTTCCTAAGCATCTAGTAGCACTTTATGGTATATTGAACTAAAAAAGTTAGATCAATGTTTATTCAATGACAAAAGTTAAACCTGAAAAGGAAAATTGGAATTATCTAGTAATATCCTCACATACTAGATCCGAGATTTCACTGTAAGCCCACTGACATGCTTAAATATTTCGCTAGTCATTCTGTTTTGACCACGGGATGCGATCGCTGACTCCTAATCACAGCCGGAGGGTCAGGGTCAGGGGCAAGACACAAAAGCGAAAGCCCGCCGGCGAGAACACGTTTCGTCGGGAACAGATGTTGAAGCTCTCGTCGTCATCCCGCCCATGGGTCACACGTCAAGTGGGCGGGACTGATAAGATTACGGACTGCTATGTGGCCCACGACGGCACTTTAGGGAGCGCCAGCTGTTGGCTTCTGAATTCCCGACGAGTTAACGTGGAACGCGATTGAGGAACAGCAAATTATTAAGCTGCGATCCGCCGACCAGAGCTGACCACCAGAGATGACCACCTCCGCCGACAGTGTTTTCGTTGCCCGATCCGATGGCATCTCCGCCGAAGGAGTCCGGGACCAGTATGCCGATGGCAAGGCCGCCAAGGTGTGGGAGATCTTCATCGGGGACAAGAACTCGCGCACGGACAACTACAAGAACTTCCTTATCGACATGCTGCGCAACAAGGGATGCAAGCGTGTCCTTGACGTGGCCTGTGGAACGGGGTAAGTCTCTTTAAATTTCTAGGAACATTAAAAGTAATATCTTAAATAATCATCGGTGCTAATCAGACTAAAAATTAATATTTTTTAGATTATATTTAACGATTCCTTGTTTCGTTAAAAAAATTCTTTAGCCCATAATTAAGTTTCTGAGAAAGTGACTAAGCGAGTCACCTTAACTATAGAGTGTTTACATCATCAATCTTTTATAAACAGATTATTATTTTAAATATCTGTTGTCCCTTTGTACTCTAATTCACACTAATATTGTTGCAGTGTGGATTCCCTGATGCTTGTGGAGGAGGGCTTTGAGGTTGTGTCCGTGGATGCCTCTGACAAGATGTTGAAGTATGCACTTAAGGAACGCTGGGCCCGACGAACTGAACCCGCCTTCGATAAGTGGGGTAAGTTTACTAATGCCGAATTTCCTTATTATTATATTAATCATATATCAATCCCTTACAGTTATTGAGGAGGCCAACTGGTTGACTCTGTACGATGACATCCAGGATCACATTCAGGAGGGTTTCGATGCTGTGATCTGCCTGGGAAACTCTTTTGCCCATTTGATGGACGGTTTCGGGGATCAGAGGGAACACAAGCAGGCCATTCGTAATTTCGAAAAGTGCCTAAAGCCAGGAGGCGTTCTGCTCATCGATCATCGCAACTACGACAACATCCTGGAAACGGGATCCACGCCTGCCAAGAGTATTTACTACAATGTAAGTATCCTACTACCTAATAAAGTTTTGGGATTCAGAAATCCAAATTTAAGAAAACAATTTGAAAAATCTTATCAACTGTGCTTGAAATTCATACATCCTATAACTAAAATTTAACATGTGTCAGATGAGTTGTAAGAATTGTGCCATATCATCTCGTCAATTAAAAACTATTAAAAACCACATTCCATTCAAAACAGCCAAATGTTGTCTCATCATAATAATAAAGTTTTGGGATTCAGAAATCCAAATTTAAGAAAACAATTTGAAAAATCTTATCAACTGTGCTTGAAATTCATACATCCTATAACTAAAATTTAATATGTGTCAGATGAGTTGTAAGAATTGTGCCATATCATCTCGTCAATTAAAAACTATTAAAAACCACATTCCATTCAAAACAGCCAAATGTTGTCTCATCATCGTGGCGATAAGAACGGATGATCTTGTTTGTGAACCCAGATCAGATGTATCTCCTACTCAAAAACATCTTCATCATCATTCGCCTTATCAGTTACACTTCTATCGATTCAATTAATCCAATGATGACTTGCGACTAATTACAGACGAGTCACACGGCGGACATCAAGACGTCCGTGCTCTTCTACTGCGGCAAGCCATCCCTGGTGTCCATGGACTACCTAATCGCTGGCAACAAGCTAACCAGCGAGTTTCGCCTGTCCTACTACCCCCACGAGCTGAAGCGATTCCGGGAGATCCTCGGCGAGATCTTCTCGCAGAAAGCCCAGCACCAGTTATATGGTGACTTCAAGGAAATGAGTCAGGTGAAGAACCCCGCCTTCTACATCCACCTGATCGAGAAGCCGAAGATTTAGGTTTAAGCCATTAGTTTGTATTCACATAAAGCCACAAGACACATCCATATAAATATAAAGTTACTTCGAATCACACAATCCCCAGTCTTCTTCTGATTTTTCTGCTAAGCCAGTATGCAGAATCGACCGACGATGGATCCAAAGCACAGGGTCACCATGGCGGCCTCGATCACGAAGGGGAATTTGGCCTTCAAGTAGTTAAACATCCCTGTGTAGATGCTGGAGAGGGTGGCCAGTAGAATCAACGTCATCTCTCGTCCGCCAAACTTTGTTTCAGACTGCCACTGAAACGCAAAAACAGTCGAGACCCTAAATTCTTGGGGTAAATGTCATTAGCCTTGCAAATGTTTTTCGATTGTGTTTTCAAGTGGTTTCGATTTAAAGAGAGGGAGAATGAGTAAACGATCGAAGTGCGATATTTATAAAACCAAATACAGTCAAAATTCTACTATAAAACGGCGATGTTCCCTTACTAGTTCGTTGTAAGTAAACAAAAATTAAAAAAACAATATTGATTTAAGATTCTATCTATTATATTTAACCACCGATTAATAACTTGCTTAAAAATTATGGTATTTAAAGGGACTTTTCGACACAATTAATGTTGCTTACCATTCGGACTCAAACTGATATCTAGATAATGGACACATGTCCACATGTCGGTCAAAGAAAGCGTTTACTGTATAAGACTGTTGTGCTTTCGACGGACTCTGCTTGGAGGACTGTCTGGCAGACACCTCTGACGTATGCATATTAACATGCCATCAAAAACAAAGACTGCTACCAAATATAGGACTTAATCGACATGTTTATTATTATTACGTTTTAGTTCTACGCAACGGCTTTACTATCAACAAAAACGTGGCGAAATCATAACAGTGTGCTTTTCAATTCGCATTTATACGCCAACGATTTTGTTTATGCGCTTGACGTCGGTGATCTGGCGATCGATCTCCCCGGTTAGTTGGGTCAGTATCTCTGTGATTGTGCGATGCTGCTTCTCCGGGAGCTCGTAAGCGTTCTTCTTGAGGTCCTCCTGGCTCTTGGCGATGTGGTAGCGCTGCTTGTTCAGCGTCTTCTTGGCGTCCTCCAATCCAGCGGCCATGCTCTGGGTGACCTTGTTAAGACGAGCTACCTCCTGCGAAAACTCCCGCTCGGCCACCACGCTATTAGGTAGAGCAGCGTTGGCCTTCTGCATCAGGCCGTTGCACTTGCGCACGAGCAGCTCCTGATTGTAGCTGATCTCCTCGAACCGCTCGGCCAGCTTGTGTGCCCGCTCACTGATCAGTTCGCGCTCATGCTCCAGATCCTGAATCTCCTGCTTCTGTTGTTCCTTTTTCAAGTTGATTTGGTTAATGTGTCGGGCGAAGGCAGCACGCACGAGGTCATGTCGTTTAAGGTACTGTTCCCGGAGCACCTCAATGGCCTGGTTTAGAAGTTCGTAGCTCTCCTGAGCAGATGGCGATGAAAGTTTATCCGCCAGGATGGGCTGGTTTACACTGCGCTGCAGCAGCGATTTAATGGTGTCCACAAAAGATGGTCCACTCTCCTGCTGCGACACGTCCGCTCCGGTCTGCCTTTTCTCATTGGGTGTTACTAGAAGCTGGGCATCGATTACTAGCTTCAGACTGATAACCTGGCCGCTGCCGAGTAAAAGAACCACTCCAGCGGGAATCTGCAATAGGGCCAATCCAAAGACTGCATTCACGGCATCACTGGAGTCGAATTTAGTGCAAAGAATGTACTCTGCCCGGGAAGAGGCCGCCAGCTCAAGTCTGTCATCTTCCGACTCGCTGTCCAGATAGCGCTGCAGCTCTGAGATAAAGTTCACTGTCACCGCATGGAGGCCCGCATTGTGGTAGGCAAAGTAGCGCAGTTCGTTGATTAGGTCACGCTTTAAATAAACTGGGCAGCTGTAGGATTCTCCTCCTGCTGCAGCTCCAGTGGCAGCCAGACCCAACTCCAGTTCAACAGTTTCAAGAACATGGATTACGTACTCGGCGGGTTCGATGAGCACAAAGTCGTCCACCTCGTTGAAGGAATGCTCCGTAGACTCCGCCTCCATAAGGAGGGCATGGTGAAGCTTTCCATTGGACTCGGCTATAATTAGAGTTGGCGGCAGCGAGGGGATAATCATGAGTGCGCACGACTCCAGGCCATAGTTGTCCCTTGCCTGGGGCGTTATGGTGATGGGGCCCTGCAGACGCGTCTTATCCGAGTCCAGGCCAGTCATCAAAATGTATATGTTTCCATTCTCGCGCAGCACTATGACGGGCCACTCGATCCTCTCCTGCTTCGGCAGCGATTTGGCCGCCATCAGGGTTTTGTTGCTCTTATCCAGAGTGTTTTCGTTTTCCCCGCTAGTTGCTGGCTCTGTGTCACGAGATTTTCCAGCGGGTGCGATGTCAAAGTCCACGGCAACCTCTCCGAAGTCGCAGAGCGAGCTGTTGGCTCCGCTCCGGAGGATGGAGGGGCCAACCTGCCAAACGTGGCGCAGCTTGGAGTGGTTGTACACCCGAATGGTGTTGTTATTGAGCATCACCAGAAGCGTGGAGTCCGAAACGGAGTGCGGATGCCAGCGCACTTGGCGCACCTCCAGGTGAGGATTGTTGAGGAACAACTGGGTGTCCAGGCTGTAGGTACGGCAGGTGACCCGGGCCTTGCCGTCCTTGTAGTATCCATCGGTTCCCCAGCGGCGGGGCAGCTCCATGACCGTCACACCTCGTGGTCCACTTAGCGCCACCAGCGAGCCTTCGTTGGAGGCCAGAACGCGGTCCACCTCGATGCTCACCATGCTCGAGGGGATCAGGGTCTGAAACTGGACATTCACCTCGGCCGCCAGCGAGGAGCGCCAGTTGCGCACTAGCAAGCAGCTCTCCTTGCAGTCCCAGGCGAAGAGCAGGTCGTCCTTGCAGTCCAGCAGGTTCTGCGTCTTTTGCATCACGGGCAAGCCATTGCGAATCTTCGCAAACAACTCGGTTTTATTTAATTCCAAAACATCGGTGAGCGACATTGCCGGTTTTTTGTTTATTTATTTATACTTATATTTGTGTGCCCGCCTTTTTGCGACAATGTGATGATGTGATCGTATATTTCAAAAATCCGCATTTGTACTTTTTTAGTATTTTTTGAAAACCTTTCTTCAATTCAAAAACCGTTGAATTTAAACAGAGAAAAGTTAGACAGTGCATTGAAAAATGGAAAATTAAAACTAGGAAATAATCAATTTCCTTTGTACGATTTCGTTCAGGAATCGTAAATCTTTTATTAAATTAATTGATACCGACTTTTTAATAGGATAAATAAATATGCTACGACAAAGATAAAAACATTACGAATTTATTTAACAAATTAACAATATTATTTTATTTATTTTTTCCCTTAATTCTATAAAACTTTAATTTCGCTTTTGGAGCTCCAACAGTGGCACAGTTTTCAGCTTCATTGTTATATCTTCAACAAAATAAAGATCTTCAAACGGAAAGCTCGTTGAAAACCTATAGTTCCTCAATAATTTGGCTAGGGTAACTTTAGCCGATATCAAAGCATATCTCCAACCTAAAATTTTCAAGTAATGTTATTATAAAACAATGTGCAAATTTAGCCATATTTATAAGTTACCTATGCAATTTCTTATTCCCTTGGTGAAGGGTATGTAGGCGTAGGGATGTTTGTCCCGAATATTGTCGGGTAAGAAATGATCTGGGTTAAAGGTTTCCGCATCTGGGCCCCAAATCTTTTTGCTTCTGTGCATGTGGAAGATGTCGATAGCGATCTGCACCCCCTGAGGAACCACTATTCCGTTGGACAGCTGCAGGTCCTGTGAGGATTGTCGGGATACAACAGGAACCGGGGGTATGACTCTCATCGATTCGTTGAGAATCAGATCCAGATACACCATCTCCTGAGTGTCGGCATAGGACACATCAAAGTCTCCGGTGTTAGGGAACATGGCTTTTATCTCCTCAAAGGCCCTCTCCTGATATTGGGGAAACATGGCCAGCAGCATCAGGGTGTAGTACACGGCATTAGCGGTAGTCTCAAAAGCGCCAAAGACAATAATATTCGACTCATCCTCAACATTTTTCAGGGTAAAGACTCCCCGTCTCAGCAAATCTGTGGCGAGATTGAGAAATATATTCTTGTCTTTGGTTTGGGTGGCAGGTAATGTTTTCCTTTCGTCACCCGCCAACTTTTTTTCAATAATCTGAAAGTGATTAATCATTAATTTATTTGTTTATCAACGTTTTGGAGTTCTGTATTAACCTTTCTGATGAACTGGCGAATTTCCGTCTTAGCCTGGTAGTAGTGGGATTCTATTCCCGCCAGCTGGCGCAAGAATTGGCTGTTGAGCCACGGCGAGAAGCACATATCTGTCATGGTTTCCAATATACTATTAATGGATAGAAGCTGTCCGGGTGCAAGTCAATACTCACCATTGGTATCTGCCAAGTAGCGAGTTACTCCTGAAGTTCTCCTCGTCCTTGACATCGCTGCCCATGGTTGTTTCTAATGACACATATTTTTCGGATCTTTAAATTTATTAAATTCGATTTTTGAAATGTAGACTATCATTTAGGAGACAATTTCTGATAGCACAGGTCAAAAAAATCCTGAACTTTTCATGAACCAAGGTTAAACGCTACAAAATCTAAAAGGGTTTTACTTATAGTTTCCTGTCCTAAACTTTGAAACTTTTTATCGTATGAAAAGTGTAAAATTTTAGATTTTTAGGCACTTTTTACAGATTAATTACAGTGGCTTAGCTGTGGTACTTTGACAACGATTTTCTTAAAACTGTGACACAGGTAAAGTCCTGAAAATTTTTTGGTACCTTTGCAGTTGGTCAACCAAATATTATTCATTCAAATGTATGTTTTTTTAGAGTTAAAAAAAAACTGTTTTAAATTATTAGATCGTAAATATTAGTTATTATGATTAAATAGTTTAATTCACTTTTACTGATCTGTATTTATGAAAATAATGTTTTTTTTATCCCAATAAACGATTTGCCATACTCACGGGTGGCTATGCCCAGGGTAAACCTCTGCAGCAATGGAATAACATCCTTCTCTCCATCGTCCTGCAACGGCTTGAGTTGATCCAGAAGTATTGCCGTCTCCCGGTTGAAAGTGGGAAGGAAGCTGAGTAGAACCTTGTGACCAAATGCGGGGTTCAGCAACTTTCGATGGATGCTCCACCGGGGATCTACACAAGTCCACACTTAAGTAACACCCATACTCAATCCCAAACACACACCATTCATGCTGAACAGTCCAATGCCCGCTCCATCGTCCACCGCCTTGTAAATGATACCCTTGTTGACGCAGTGGGGCGATGTGAAGATGTCCTGCACAACCTGGGGGTCACTGACAATCAGGAAGGGAATGGGTCCCAGCCACGAATATATTGTCGGGC